GTAAACAGTGATAAGGTCAACAGGGGGAACACCATGATGTTTAAGGGCTCTTAAAATATATAATTTACTATTAGCCTTTTTGACAATATTCGGCATGTGAATCCCATTTAAGATTAGCCTGAAGCATAACTCCAAGAACTTTAACAGTGTCAACTGCTTTCAGAACATGATCATTCAGAGAAATAGATGAAGGAATAAAGTTCCTTTTACTAAAACTAATGTCCATAGTACAACATTTCTTGGGGTTAAGCTTCATATTGCTACCTGAAGCCCAATCATGCAGCGCAGTTGCACATGATTGAAGTTCAGATTGGTTAACAATATTACGATACTCGATTAATGTAAGATCATCGACATATTTGAAATGTTTAACAGGAGCATTTTCAGGGGGGAAGACATTATTAATCATTGCACAGAAGACGACGGGGCCAATTTTGGTCCCTTGAGGGACACCAAAATTGACAATACAACTATCAGATAAGTGACCCCTATACTATACTTAATAATGTCTGCTGCTGAGAAAGTCGGCAATCCAAGCAACATTGGTAGGTGAAACGTTCATATTTATTAGTCTGGAAACCGCAATCGTATGATCAACTAAGTCGAAGGCTTTTGAAAAATCAGTGAACAAAATGGAAGACACAGTGGAAGGAGTTTCAGCATGCCGATATAGCGAGTCCATAAGACTAATTAAGCAATGAGATGTAGACACTTTTCGCTGATTCCCAAACTGCATCGGGTCAAGCATGGTATTCATTTCTTTCAATGTATCTCTTGCCACAAAGTGTTCCGCAATTTTTGCAAAATGGTCGGTAAGTGCAATAGGTCGTATATTAACAAGTGTAGCTGGAAGCTTCGGATCCTTAGTGATGGTAACTACATGGGCACGTTTCCATTCTCTGGGCACCTCAAGCGCACGGTAAGACGCATTAATAATACATGATAGAGGTTCGGCCAATTCATATGAGAATGTTTTAATGAATCGAGCAGAAATCAGGTCTGGACCACCAGCCTACCTAGTATTCAGTTTATTGATGATTCTGACGACATCCCATGGTTGAATGTATCGGGGTTCAGCCGCAGGCAAAAACACCGGTAGGGATAGGTCTGTCTAGTGGTTTAAGATTTTTACCTATGCTGCTAAGGTGAGTACAAACAGCGTTAGCAGTCTCCATGTGATTGTTGCAATTAGGAACTACTAATTCTTTCTGTGAACTTTGACCAGTCATAACACGTATATTTTTATACCATTCACTTGGTGAGGATCGTTTGAGATGCTGAATCTTATTAACATAAAATAGATTTTTTGCTCTTCTAATTAGACGATTGATCTTGTTTCTTAGTTGACGCCAAAGGTGATCATGATTGTTTGCGAATGCTTTTTGTCTCTTGGCAATAAGTGCTTTAATTTGCGATGAGATCCACGGTTTATCGGTGGGATGGCGCTTAACAACACGTTTTGGAAAATACTTGTCAATTGATTCATGCAAGGTTTGGTAAAAGTTAGAACACATAGTTTGCATATTGTTCTCGTTATACACTTCCATCCACTCATAATCAACAAGCCACTGCCCATATGCTCGTAACTTACTGTCAGGCATGGGACGCACAATGTGTTTAATTCTTATAACGTTAGATTTCGTAGCAGTTACTTTGGGTTTAAAAAGAACACAATTGTGATCCGACAGTCCAATAGGAGGCAAAATGACAGGGCGCAGATATTTTGAACCAACGTTGGTAAGGATTTTGTCCAAAATTGAACTGTCTCGTGTAGGTTTGTTGACCACTTGTTTAATTGAACTAGATAGAACACAGTTCAAGTCGAGGTGGTTGAAATCTCCAACTATACAAATACCACTACCGGGGTGTTTGGACAAAACACTATTAATCGTAGAGCTCAAGTGATCAATGAGTTTTTCAGCAACAGGGCTATTGGGCGGATAGTAAATCACACCTACCACAAAACTGGTGACGAACCTGGGTAGACGGGAAGGTCTCACGCTGACCCATAGAGCTTCAATGTCATCTGGTACAAAAATGTCGGTAAGCACCTTGCATTTAATGCTGTTCTTAACATACAGGGCCACACCACCGCCACGTTCATCGGTTGTAGGCCTGGAAAAAGTACAATACCCGTCAATGTTCGAAAGTTCAGGAGGTAAGTTAGCAGGGAACCAAGATTCGGCGATTCCAGCGACGTCGACATTATTGGATTCCAACACAACACTTAATTCATTAAGTTTGTTATTAAGCGACCTCGGGTTACAAAAGAAAAATGTTGGCAGTTGATCATGACATCCACGGCTACCATTATGATTACAAACAATCTTGATCAAATTACCAGAAATGCAACCTCTTTGGCGATGCTTTTGTTTTTTGTTTTTGTTCTGTTTTACATTTACATCCCATGGGCGGCGGAACCGGGGGGCCGGGGGGCCCGGGCCCCCCACTTTTTGGCGAAAAATATATAATGTCTGGAGAACTTTGTATGATCGGAAATGCAAAAAAAGAAGGAGGGGAGAAGGATGGGAAAGAGAATGTTTATCCAGTACCCGACCGAGTTACATTTTCTCGCAATTCACATTGGCGGATCTGGGAGGAGGGGATCATGGGTCCTGACCCCTCCCTTGTGCAACAAAAAAAAGGGAAAAAGAAAAGG